TCCTCCTCATCAATGGGACGAAAGGGAGCCTTTCTTGACTTCTAAACAAACCGACTCTCTGTAAAAATATCTTTTCTTCCCATCTGTGGCCACAGAAGCTGAAGGTGGCTGGTAAATGCCCCACATGGGTCACCATAAACCAAGCTCATTTAAACTAGCCTTGCAGATAAACACTGAGTATTCACCAGCCCATAAAACTTGTCTGGCCAGCCCACACTGCGTCAATCAGATGACACTGGATTCTAGACAGTGATAAAACCCGCGAAACTAACATGTTTCAGGACTTTCCTGATGCAAATTGTTTGTGACTTTGGACGGGTAGTTATTGGTAAGATTAATTGCCAAGGAATGTTTTCAGTAACGATGCTAGCAGTTCTGACAAACAACATTGGCAGGAGTAAATTTGCTGCCTAAAGAAAAATGTCCAGCTGTGTTTCAGCAGGCATAAAGGTCATGTCATATTGACAGAAAATCTTTGTGGACATTAACACCAAACCGGACAAAGAGAACTGAACGCCAGCCACGCAGTCTGAACTGCCGAGAGCAGTTAACGTGCTTGACATCAATATATAAAGTCGTGAGACTCAAGAATTGTGGGAGAAAATCAGCGAGAAAAAAATTAGACTCTCAGCCAACAAGAATACTATCAACAATGGTAACAGTAAAAAAACAAACAAATGAACAAAAAACCCCAAAGATATTCCGAAAGTATATTACTTTGCCAGTTAGGAGTTGCAGGCATATGTTTTGAATTTTCTATCATTTTATTTGTAGAGAGATTTGGAAGCAGGATTATTTTATTGAAATATAATGCTGGATTGAGAAAAGCCTCATTTCAAAAGGGAATAGCTGGTTGGAAGGAAAGGCTTCATCCGGTCAGCATTTGGGTAGCCAGATCTAGACGGTGAATAACGGACATCCTGACTGTAACCGGAGAATTCTGGATGACTCAACCACTCAGCCAGGTCACTGGGTGGAAATGTCGAGAGCTGGCAGAGTAAGAACTCGGTGACTCCTACGGCTCCGAGTTCCTGTGCTTCCCAGCAGCCTGCAATGACCCCAGGCAAATGTGCTCTGGAGCCGGGAGCATCTGCTCAGGACTGGGAAACCAAATACTGTATTGCCAATGGCGTCCCTGACAGCAAGTTCCCGTCTCTGAATCACGGAAAGCGAATCCAGAGGCAACACGGGAACAAAGCATGAAGACGCTGTCAAGCTGGCACACATCTGTCTGGCTGGGGCCGCCCGGGAAGTCACGTCTGCCCCCAGCACTGCATCTGCCCGGGGCAAAGCTTCCTTCCCAGGACACTGAGATGGAGTCACATCCTGACTCCGCCACAGGTCCAGGCAGGGGTGTGGGGCTGTGGGAAGTGTGTCACTCTGGTAGAATTGGGGTTCTACTGCTGACCTCTTACACATGTCAATGAATCCTTAATAAAGGAGGGAACGGGTGGCGGCTGAGAGTCTCTGCTCTCCAAGTCACAGCCCAAGCTCCACACAAGCAGGACCATCTGCATGTCCCTTGGTGCCCCAGTGTCCCTGTGAGCCCTGACCTATGCTATTCTGTATCTGGACATATCCCTCCCTGAAGGCTCCCAGCTGGCTGGTCCCCTCTACCCTACCACGCATGGCCCACGGTCCCCTCCCAGCCCTTTGTCAAACCCCGAGGACTCGAGCACCTTGCTCAGTGGCCTGAGCATCTGTGAATACAGTTGCACTGTGTGGGGTTTACATGTACCCAGTGCTGTGCACCTGGCATGGAGCTGCTTGTGATATGTTCTGTGGACAGATGACAAGCTGTGTTGGAGGGTGACAGTACACCCAGGGGAAGGGAGGTTACTATCTCCATTTTCAGATGAGGCACAACCAGGTTGAGCTACTGGGTGAAGGTTGTCCAGAGAGTAAGTGGTCTATTCAACGCCTGTGGCGCCCCACAAAAGTCCACAGACCAATCTAGAGCCTAACCTGTGAATACATCGCCCTACGTAGCAAAAGGGACTTCGAAGATGTGATTATGCAAAGGGTATTGAGATGGGAAGGAGGTTATCCCGGAGGATGTGGGTGGGTCCTATGTAATCACCCGGGTGCTTCTAAGCAGGAAGCGGGAGGGTCAGGGTCAGAGAGGCAGAGGTGGCTGCAGAAGCGGAAGCCGGAGAGAGAGACAGGGATCTGAGGCGGGAGGAAGGCGTCAGGAGCCAGGGGAGGCAAACGGCCCCTGCAAGCTGGAAACGGCAAGGGGACGGATTCTCCCTGGAGCCTCCAGGAGCAACGCGGCCCTGTCCACATCTAGATTTAGGATTTACGACTTCCAGAACTGTCAGATGATAAATCTGCATTGCTGCATGCCACCAGGTGTGTGGGAATTTTTTACAGCAGATGTAGGAGACCAGACAGTCCCCTTAAACCTGAAAACTCAGCAGCCACATGGGCACAGAGGGGAATGTGCGTCTGCACCTGCAAGGGGGTGGTCAAGGCCTGTGGGGGCCCTCCGTGTCCTCTGTCTCCCAGGGGAGTTTGTGTGGTGATCTGAGGGACTGAGAAGGGGCTCAAAGCGGCAGGCCACAAGCCAGGAAGTCACAAGCCCAAGGGACCTGGTTTCCAGGGACTCTGAGTAGTCCCCCCGAAGGGAAGCCCATTTCCCCAAAGCACATGTGTTCCCAACAGTCCTGATGCCATGGGGGATTTAGTGCTGCCTGCACTGTGTCCCTTGTGACAACCCCCCCTCCCAGGCAGAGGCCTCTCCTATTACTGGGGATGGGGGCGGTAGAAGAGAGAAGGAAGAGCTGAGCGGGGAGCACCCAGGGAAGCCCCCTCCTCAGGAAGGGGACGCAGCTCCCAGGAGTCAGGCCTCCCCTGCACTCTCAGTCACAAGGATTACGAGAGTTCAAAGCAGGTAACTTCCTGTGGCTTTCAGTTACAGAAAGCTGAGTCTGCGGGTCAGGCTGTCAGTCTGTCTGCCTGTCTGGGGCTCTTGCTCTCCCTCTGGCCAGGCAGCTTGAGGTCTAGTCCGATGAGATAATAAATACCAGCCTGGTCACCATGAATCAGAGGCACACAGCCAGCTGAGTCACACGGTGCCGGTGGCTCAGACTGAACTGCCAAGTTCCATCTGACCTCACTCTGGAAATGGGGCCAGATGTTATAATACAGCAGGGCATTAAAGAACACGTCTCAGTCCCAAAGCTCAGAGTGCTGTGTGTGCTCTGGCCGGGAATGCTCCTTGGAAAGGAGCATCTTAAAGGCCCCTGTAACTCGAGAAGGGGAGATTACTGACTTTGGAGAGGGCTGGGAAGGGGACAGCCACCAGGGATGCATTAAAGCATGAAGATCTGGCTGCAGCAGTAGCCACAGTCCCAAAGCGACCTCACTTGGCTAAAAGGCGTCTGAAGTCACCAAACCATATCGAGCCTGTACAGCAACACGTAACATGTGTGCAGTGAGTGCCTACTTAGTGTCTGTCATTTCAGCAGAGTCCCCCGCTCCCCCTCTGCTGAGAGGGCCTCAAAGCCCCTCCCCGCACCTGGCCACATCAGCTGAGAATCCCAGGAGCAGTGGAAGGGCTCCTCAGAGGGGCAGGCAGACGCAGTTGCCTAGCCCTCCTCACCAGGCCGGGCTCCTCACAATGCCGGGCTACCTCCCCCTTCCCTTCAGCAAGCTCCCAGTGCAGAGGCCATATATGTGTGGCTGACAGGGGTGGTGGGCTCCCCAGGAAGGCCCAGTCCCAAGAAACGCCCATCCCGTCCTTGGCTGACACTTTCCCATCACATTTGGGTTCAGTTGTCATTCTCTGCTCTAGTTTACTTCCCTCCTCACTCCTAAAACCAAAACCTTGCAACAAAAGTCTGGCAAAGGTCCCACTCAGAGATCCCTCCCCGGAGACCCTGCCTGAGCTCACCTGGCTCTCAGCCTGGGCCTGGCTCAGCACAGCAGCCATGCAGAACTGGGGTCTCTGGCCAGGACTGAGGGAGCACTGCAGCCAGTGGGGGGAGGGACCAAGCAAAGGCCTGGGCCATGTGGCCCCAAGGGAAAGAGGGAGAATAATTAGGTGGGGTGGACCCACACTCTTGGAAGACTCTCTCCATAGGATTCATAGCCGGAATCCTGGGAGCTGGAGATAGGTGTCAGATCCCAGTGGCTCTGGGTGTGGGTCTGACATGGGGGAGAGGTATCCACAGGGGGCTGGTTCTTCCCCCTTTTGCATCTAAATTTCTGCCTAATTTTAGAGCTTGGGGGAACTTTAGTTTGAGACCTCACTCCTGGTGTGACTGTGCACTGTGAGAGGTGCTCATGGGGACTGAGTGACAGTGACCTGGCTTCAGCCCCAGCCTGGTGACCTTAGGAAACTGACTATGGACTCAGAGTTTTAGCCTCACCTTTTATAAGACTGTACTTGCTTTCCCTACCTCAGCGTGGAAGGTGTTGGAGGCGGAAGAGACAAAACGTGCCAGGTGCCCAGCACGGCCTGGTGGAGGGACCCTGCCACGTGCCTCCTTGTCTGAGAGCTGCCGGCTGTACCCAGTCCTTCCCGACCACAGACCTCCCCACGAGTCAACTGCAGTCGGGGGCCTTCCCCACGGAACCCTCAGCTGCAGTGACTTTCTGGCACCCTCAGTCCTTGGTTGGGGACATCGTCTGAGCACAAAGGAGTATCATCACACTTGAGTGTTGGTGGGAAGTTCCGCCCCCAACTGACTCTTCAACTACATGCCACGCTCTCTGAGGGCAGTGTCACGGCTGATCCCCCACCTCCGTCACCCCATGGGCACACAGCAGAGGCTCAGACCTTTCATTAGACTGCACCAAACTCTGCAAGGCAGGCTCCAGGCAGCATGGCCCAGCACGGCCCAACTTGTGCACAGCCCCTCCGGGCACCCAGCCCATCATTCCTAACTGCATGCTCTGGATGCCACAGACGGTGCCCCCCAGGGTGAACGTGCTCCCCGGTCCCACTGCTCAGTCTGCCAGCGCTTCTCAGAGCACAGCAGTCAGCAGCCACATACCTGGTCCCCAGAGCGTGACGCACTGCTGCTCGTGGGTCTGGCAGATGCCGTTGTAGCAGTAGCCGTCTACTCCCTGACACGGATGGCCATCATGCAGGTACACGCTGGCTGGGCAGTGAGGACTGGTCCCCGTGCAGAACTCCGGCAGGTCACAGGAATTGCTGGAGGCCCTACACGCCGTTCCTGCTGGCTTCAGCTGGAAGGAGAGGGCTGCTCATAGCACGGGCTCGGGGAAAGGGAGGGGCAGCTCTTAGCAGCACCTGGGGGATGGAGGTTTTGCCCAAAGGGGTGAAGATCTCAAAGGAAGTCCCTTTTACGGTAGAGAGGGCTCACTAAATAATCAGATTCTCATTCTAGGCTCTGAGGTTCACCTTTCCAGTCTAAGAGGGGGAGACCAACAAAGGGAAGCCCCTTTCAGTGTCATGCAACATACAGGGTTTCTGAGGAGCAGAGGGGCTGGTCCCTGGCACCTGTCACCTTGGATGAAGGGGAGCACTGGTGGCTGGCCTGGCTGATTCTTAAAGAAAGGGTCTCTGGTTATCAACACCATCAGTTGTTCTAAGATGAAATTGGTGCTTAAAAGTGTTAGCAAGTGTGGGCAAGTTAATAAAAACAACTTTGAGGGCACAATCACAATAGAAATTATACTTTGTCATCAAATCACAGAACTAGAACCTTCTCTTTAGCACTTATGGGAAGAACTAAGGAAGAACAAGGAGGTAGAAGATGCTAGAAGCCACCTGACCAACATTTCAGCTTTTTTGTGGTTGAAGAAATTAAGGCTCAGCGTGGTTTGTCTGAGGCTGCTTGGCCAGGGCCTACCCCAAGTGCTGTGCTTGGCTCCCTGCGTACTCTGTAAGGGAATGAGGTAAGACCCCTGCCGACTTCTGGAGTTGGAAGGAACTGTTTAAAAGCTGTACATAAAAGTGGAGCACACGCAGGCATCACCACACGTCCTGCCTCCCTTCCTCTGCTGGCATCCTCTGCTCATAAGCACAGCCTGCCTTCGCTCCTTCCCACAACCCCCTGCTGGTCACCTTCTCCCACCAGTTGCTGGGTACCAGGGAGTGCCTGCTGCTTGTAACCCTCCCTAGAAGTTAATCACCATTGGGAAGGGGGTGAAGGGTTCTCTGCAGCTGAACATACATGCTATAACGTTCTTCTAAACACCGTGCGTGTGCGAGGCAGCTAAGAGGGAGTTTCCTATACGCAGAATGCCAAGATCAGTTTCTTAATTAAAAAGAAATACAACCCTACCCTTGGAACCTTTGCAGCAAAAGCGCAGCCTTCTACTCTGACAGATATCAGCCCTGAGCAACGGGGCAAACAATGGACAAATGTAGTCACAGCAGCAGAAATGGCAAAAGCCGAAAACTGCCACTCCTGGCTGGGCTGGGTGGCCGGCACCTTCTGCTAGGAGGACATTCAGACTGAGGAGTTGTTTACACAGAAGCCTGGACCCAGCCTCACGGGTTCTCAGCCCAGCAGGCAGGCGCTGCTGGATCATCACTGGGACGAGGCCGAGTGAGGGGCTGGGGACCATACACGCTGCTGTTGTTGTTAGCATGGGAGGACCACTCCTGCCTCTGATAGCAGAAATGGCACACGCAATGTTGAGCAAGAGTTTTATGGTCCAGGGAGTTTTCAGCCCATAAATACGTAATTTTCCACAGATGACTAGCAATTAAAGTGTGCATTTCACCTGAAGATTGGGAGATAAAAAATAAGAGGTGAATAGACCAACTTGTGTGAGGAGGGGTGATGGTTTCTGCAGCCATGAGCGCTGTGAAATCACCGTGCAGTCCAGCTTGCCCTGCGTTGGACTTTAACCTCGCAAACCTTTCAGAGACTTTGGGGTCAAGTTCCCTGCCAAGAACTCACCCGACAGTCTTCGCAGCACAGCCCATGTGCGCACACGGCGTCCGGCTTCAGGGTACAGGTGGTGGCGTTGCAGCAGGGATTCGTGCATTCCTGGGGGAGGAATGGGATCCTTCTGACAAGGTCTCACAGAGCACCTACTCTCTGCATGCAAATGTCTTACCTTACATGACCGCAAAAGGGGGGAGAGACCAGGAGGGCCCAGCTCCTGGGCTGGACGCCTGCCTAAGGACTACCTTCATCTGCAAGAAAGCAAGGTTTCCGTCAAGTGCCTAGGAGCCACTGGGAAAGTCAGCAGCTTGCGAGCGTCTTTGTGAAAGGCACAGGAGCCGGGACAGAAAGCTGCCTGGCCAGGGAGGTCCAGGTTCCTCCAGTCCCCAGCATTGCGGGGCTCTGCAGACGGACTCAGTGCGATGGATTGCATCTGGGTCTCCGGAGTACTTTGAAATTACTTATCCCAAAATATACATAGATGCATAAAATCTTTACTCTTCAAAAACGAACCCTCTTGATCTAGAAAAAGTCCATGTACTTTACAGCATTCTACTAACTTTGGGGGTTTACACATTTTAGAAGCAACAGTAATTATGGAAAGATGGAATGGTTCATAGAGTTTTTAATACTGCTTCATTTACTAAAGTCATTTATTTTATTCAATACAAGATGTACTCCGAAAAACTTATATACTGCTGACTAGGGTGAAGCTAATCATATATTTATTTAACAGTATACTACTTTGCTCCTGAAAATCATTTTTTTGAATAGTTTTATCATTTGCATCATAAACATAATTAGTAAAATTTTATCAATTATCCAGAAGATTTATGACAAACACAGATACTGAACTGCATCCTGTGTAAACCTCCATCGACCACGTTCTCCTTCACTGTTTAACATTTGCTTCTATTGTTCCAGACTCATTAAGTTTTAGACTTGTTTGAGGTCTTTCTAAACATCTGAATGTGTGATATATACAATGAGATAAAGCTACCAACCAGAAGTCAGAGCTACAACTTTCATGATAGCAAGCGCTTAGAACTCACAGACTTATGAATTCTAAGAAATTCAGGAACTTGTTGAGTTTGTTTTTTTAAAAGAACCCATTAATTGCATTTTTTGTCAATGCCGTGAAATGCAGAGCCATTTGCCATGCCCCTTTTGGTCTAAGTGGCTCTACTAATGACACGTTTGCTGAATGGAAGATTTCCTTGTAAATCTATGTGAAATCAGACATCCTATATCTGGGTCCTAAATTTCTTTAAGAAGCAACTCCCTGTCTCCTTCAAATCAGCAAATGATAGAAGCAGCAGCTCAGATGGAAATGCTGCCAGGCTGAATGGCTTTGACTTCAAAGGGGATTGATAATGTGAGGAAGATAACAAAGTTTAAAAGGTATTTGCAAACCACTGGCATCCTATGGACTTTAAACAAAGAGATATGGCAGCTTTCCCAATCCTGTTAGCTAGAAAAGTGAGTGGGTTGTCAGGATGGGTTGACGTTGACATAAATTCAGTGCCCTGTCCAGGGAGCCTTCAGCAATCACTTGCCTTTAAATTACCCAGAATCTATTTCTTCTGAGGTGCCATATTTCTTAGAAGAGACAAATTCTTCATCTGTTGATACATTTATTATTTTAGTCCTCTATACAGAAACCTGGCAGAGCCAATGAATATTAAGTCTCCAAAGAAGAAAGAATAATAAAACTATTGGAGAACTCTCTGCAAAGCTCTAATCGTCACTCTTATGTTGTAGTTAGTAGATGTGAATTCTTAACCACAATGAACTGGGATGAAACTATAATGCACCTTCTTGAAAAGAATGGAGATGATTTCTAGGGGTGAGGGAGGAGAAGCTGGAGCCTGTGGGGTGCTGACTGAGGCTGTTCTGATGTCCTTCATGCACTGTCCTCAGACGTGATGAGTCCCTCTGTGGGCCAGCACATGGGCATGAGCCAGTGTGATGCAAAGGCTTGGCCAGTGTCTCCAGGGCCTGAGCTCTAGTCAGGGGCAGAAAGACCCCAGGGTAACAGGCATGACTAGGAGTCCTGCTCAAAGCAGACTGGACGTGCGAAATGGGCTGCCAGAAGAGCCAGATACAATATGAGTTGGAACCTTGAACAGTAAAAAATAAAAAACTAAAAAGTGGTAACACAAAAGTGTTGTCCATTCTTTAGATTAAGAGTTGTTAAAAGAAAGAAAGAAAGAGAAAATGCGTGCCTGTGACTTTGAAAAGTTTCTTGGAAGAACTTTAGATGAGGAGAATAAAACTTCTCTTCAAACATTAAGAACTTATCCTAGGAAATGAGGACTTTAACCACAGACAAAGCTGGGAATTACAAAGCCGGCCCTACCTAGGGAGGCATTTATAACACTCAAGGCTACCCTAGGATGCAAGGAGCTACCTGGAGAGGCAGTAGGTGCTTTGTCAAAGCTGCGTGACTCCCTCAGAGAGAAAAAAGAGAGAGGGTCAGAACGAGTGGCTGGCAAATTTTAGGTATTCAAGCATTTGTTGACATTGATGCTGGTGGTGATGTGGCTGATGGTCATGGTGGTGATGGCAGAAGTGGTGATGGTAGCTATGGGAATGGTGGAGGTTATGACAGTGGTGAGGTGGTGGTGAGGGTGGGAGTAATTGTAGTGGGGGTGGGGGAGTGATGGTGGTGGGGATGGTGATGACTGTGGATTTGGTGACTGTGGTAACATTAGCAGAGGTCGTGGTGATGGTGGTGGGGATGGTGATGACTGTAGATTTGGTGACTGTGATAACATTAGCAGAGGTCGTGGTGATGGTGGTGGGGATGGTGATGACTGTGGAGATGGCAACTGTGGTAACATTAGCAGAGGTCGTGGTGATGGTGGTGGGGATGGTGATGACTGTGGATTTGGTGACTGTGGTAACATTAGCAGAGGTCATGGTGATGGTGGCACCGATGCTGCTGGTGGTGACTCTACATGGAACGAATGACAGCTAATGGAGTCTCTCCCAACCTGAGAGCTCATGGTTCCACGAAGAGCTGTCAAATTTATTTAGATTAACAAACAATTATAAAGAGTTCAAACCAAAGACAAACCACTATAAATCAATGTGGCCTCTCCTGAGAAATATGAGTAATTTAAACTAATTTCTTTTTTCCTATAAGTCATTAGCAAGGGTTCTGAGGAATCTCCCTTTGGCACACCCCATTCCATGATGCTTTGAAGTGTTCCTCCACTCATCTTAAAAAGCGTTTCTATAATCCTATAAATTAGAACTCACCCCTACAGAAACCCTTCCCTGCTCACTGTGAGCAGAGTTAAACACCGCTGCAGACAATGTCATCATCACAGGTAAGTGTGATAAATCCACCTCTACACCCCCTTCACCCCACCCAATAGTGAGAGACCCCAGCATTCTGCAGAGACTGTCAGATTGAGATCATTCCTGCAGGCCTGGAAAACCTCAGGGACTCGGAGATGGAGATATGATGAAGGTTCTATTAACCACTTGTTTTTTGGATGAACACAGGAATACACTAGGTGCTCTAGAGCAGCGGTTCTCAACCTGTGGGTCGTGACCCACAGGAACTGTATTAAAGGGCTGGGGCATCAGGAAGCTTGAGAACCGCGGCTCTAGAGCCTCAGCACAGTTTTGCTCCCACCCTAGAATCCCTCTTCCAGATCAGCCTTCTAAGATGAGCTCTTCCTAAGCCCTCATGAAGCCCACCTGCAAATTTAGCTAAACCCGCCTTGAACTTGTCTACCATTTCAGCTTGCATAAGCCCTTAGGGAGGGAATCCCACACGTAGACTGTCTGCTCTACAAACTACTCACTCTGATTTATTCTAAACACAACCTCCTCCCAACTTGGAGAGGGCTCTTGTTTTACTAGATTTCACTGGGTCCTCTCTCTTTCCTTCACGAGATTATGCAGAGATTAAAAAGCGGCTGTTACAATTTTTATGTTGATTAACTTTGTCTTGGGCCCAATAGGAACAAGAACATTTCCTGATACTGGGTGGTAAAGAGGGTTAAATCCGTCCTGTGCTGGTTGAACACCTGGCTGTTTTGGCTTATTGCTTCTGATAGCTGCAGGCTCAGAGGCAGCCGCCTCCGAGGCGTTCTGCATACAGAGGCAGCATTTCCACAGGGAGGAAGCTCTTGGTTAGAAATGAAGGCTGCTCATTCAAATTCCCCTTTAGTGGCAAGCCTCACGGAGAGAAAGAAAGTGTGCTTATTAGCTGTGTGAAGCTAGAATTCCAAGGCTTCCTCCTCCGCCCAACTTGAAGCTAAATGCTTTTTGATTGTTCTTATCCTCATCTTGCCAAGCACGCTGCACCTTTCAACAGAGATTTTTTTTTTATCTTTTTAAAGTAAGTGGAGCAACTTATTCCATGCATTGGTTCAAATTCCAGAAAGCCAGCCTAGCCTGTGGGGCTCACTCGAGGTGGCCACCCAGGAGGAGCCCCCCGCCCTCCCTCCTGAGTTTCCAGCACTTTCTTCCAGGTCCTCACGAGGCCTGGACTCGGCTCTCACCTCGGGCTCCCCACAGTCGCACCCCTCTCCTTCCTCCACGTATCCATTGCCGCACTTCTGGCCCCCGAAGGACTGCTTGAGCTCCGGCAGGTTGAAGAGGCACATCCCCATCCCCTTCTCCAGGCTGCTCTCCAGGTCCTTCCTGCTGCAGCTGCTGAACACCATGGGGAAGGGGTACCTGCGAGGGAGAGGCCAGACACCAGGTCAGGGCGCAGAGAGCACCAGGGCTCGGACACGCAGTGCGGAGGGAGACACCTTTGCTACACCCAGTGACGCCAGCACCCCGATGAAGAGGTGCTTTACCAAAACACAAATGATCTTTGGATGGTTTCCAGGTCAACCAGTTAAGACAGTGTCATTACAGACGCTATTAGTAGTTCTGGGCAAAGTGGCACAAGAGAATGTGAATTCTTAGGATCTGTAGCTTGTCACGGAAATGCATAGCATCACCTTTACTGGAAAGGACAAAGGCTAGAAGAACACAAATGACTGTACTTACACAGTCCAGCCTTCCAGGGACACGTGGTTCCTCTGGAGGTCAGGGCCGGCCACTATGGCACTCGGATCTGGGTTAAATCCCTGCCTCCCCGGCACTGTCACAGGAGGCTGGGGGTGCTGGGGAAATGCGTGTCTTGCTCTACATGCCAGGACCATGTGGGCGTGCGGCAGAGGCAGCCAAGTCCCAGCAAAGTGACTCTCCCCTTTCACGGTCTACGGGGGCTGCTCAGCCCCTGCACTCTGGGGTGGGTCGCGTGACTAATTCTTGATGCGGGAACATGAGCAAAGTGATGTCGGTCACTTTCCGTTGATGGCATTAGACAGGAAGTCCTTCTTCAAGTCCTTTCCTTCCCCTTCTGCGAGCTACGGTCAGGGCATTCCATGGTCAGGAGATGGGGGACCAAATGTGCATCCGCTCCTGACTCACTCTCAGGAGGGAAGCCACCTGCTGCGTGGACCCCGGAGAGCCACGTGGAAGGGAAGCATCCTCTGAAGCCGTGAGGCCCTGAGAACTCAGAATGCTCCCTGCGGCAGCCGTATGGCCGGCACAGCAGTGTTGCTCCCTGTTTTTACAAATGCACGTTCCCATTTTGAGGCAGCAGGGATCACAAACCCGGGTTGTAGCACTTCATGAGGAAGTGGGGCTGGCCGTCCTCCCCCAGTGGAGATGTTCATAGGATGACATTATGCCTGGATTTCAATCAACTGTCCAAAGTGAGACAAGCTGCTATGTTACCCTGAAGGTGGCAGACAAGCCACCATGATGCTTGAGCTTGGTCATATTTTGAGATCACAGTGATCTCCATGGCCAAACCAATAACCTTGCACCATCCCCTCCAAGTGCCTTCTATCAGTCTCGGGTGACTAGCTCTGGAGTATAATTCTAATCTCTAAATAAATTAATATTCAGATGAAAGCACTGCTCTGTGGATGCAAAGACAGTAAGCCAGGGCTTACTTATAATGCTCTAACAAAGTTCCTTTTGAAATCTTTATAACTTTCATTGGCAGACAGGTTGGTTATTCCTGCTATCGGAATGAGGCTGAATAGCTTCAAATGGTGGTCCACAAGAAAAACTGTAATTTTTCCAATTTAGAAAGGAGCTGTATGGACGAGATTGGTACGTTACACAGGGAATTGATGGCAGTTCTTTTCTTTGTGAAGAAATACACTTCATCAAGGTACTGATTGGAACTTCTATATCTGAAAGCTTTCCTGGGACACATCTGTGTCTCCAGACCTGATCCAGGAGACTCAACACCATTCCCGATTGATGATATGCAACTCAGGGCCGTGATAAACTATTACCAGTTCACTCTGGAAGAGAGCTGATTTCTAGAAGATATTAAAGTTAATTGGGAAAGACACTAGGATTAGTTGTGAGTCTCAGTCAATTCACACATGGGACTAAGAAAGTACTGAAAAATTATAGATAACCTGGCCCTCCCAATGTTTAAAATAATCTAAAATTATTTCAAATCTCAAGGGACAAGGGAAATTTGATAGTAACAAGCTTTAGATTCCTCTGATTATAATGCCATCCTCACCTATATGTATTTGAATACCTTCTGCATTCTAAGTATTTAGTAGTTACCCAATACCAAGAGCACAGCAGGCACCAATGGTTAATGGCTCAAGAAGGGAGAGAACAGTTAGCTGGTTTGCATGAATGGTGAGCCGATGGGCTACAAGCAAGGCGTGAGACCCCACACGGTCACCGCTGTCACTGGCAGGATAGTCATCACTCCAATCCAGCCCCCTGGGGGAGAGGATGGTGGAAGACACTGGGCAAGGCCAGGTGCATCATCCTGCTTGCTAGGTATCGACTTGCCTTTAAACGCTCCACGATGGCAGAGTCACACTCCCGTGGAGGTATACTCAGAGACCCCTGTTTATTCGTTTATCTGCTCCCTCACTTGTGACACTTTCTAAGGGGTTACAACATTCAAAGCTGAAGAGGATCCCAAGGTAATTCACACGAGACTTGCACCCAGCCCACTGCCTCTTGCTTGGGCCTCGCCAACCTCCTTCTTTATAGGACAAGCCCAACCTCCGCACCATGGCCTCACCAGCCAGCCATTCTCCAAGACCCGATAAGACTCCACTCTTCAGAAACCTCAGACCCTTGGCGCACTGTTTGTCATGCACATAAATGGAGTCTATGGAGTAAAATTCCAGCCCAAGTCTTTGTCAAAAGTTATTGTTCCTACCTGTATTGTCATAGTCAAGCCACAAAAGTATAAATTCCTGAAAGAAGTAACTGGGTAAAAACATAGATATATTTTTCTATACCTATTAAGTACCTGCTTTAAGGGCAACATGGTAATGATTTCTCCTAATGTTAGTTTGTCTTTTATGCTTTTTTTAAAATTCAAATTTTCAGGCTCAGTGCCTGTGGCTCAAGTGGCTAAGGCGCCAGCCACATACACCTAAGGTGGAAGGTTTGAATCCAGCCCGGGCCCACCAAACAACAATGATGGCTGTAACCAAAAAATAGCCGGGTGTTGTGGCAGGTGCCTGTGGTCCCAGCTACTTGGGAGACGGGGGCAAGAGATTTGTTTGAGCCCAGGAGTTAGAGGTTGCTGTGAGCTGTGATGCCATAGCACTCCCCTGCGTCTCTGATCAGAAGCTCCAAAGAACACACCACCACACTCTACCCAGGGGGACAGCTTGAGTCTCTGTCTCAAAAAAAAAAAAAAAATTAAATTTTCATTACAATCTAGGCAATTTGTTCTCAAATTCAAATGTTGTTATAATAACAATATATGAACATATCCACACCTACTTCTGTCATAATAGTAAGAAATGCAATGTAGACTCATCATCTTTTGTGTACTTCCCTTAGAAAGAGTTCTTTTTACACCGTGGTTTCATTTTCTAAGAAAAGCCCACACATAGCACGTGGACTGCACAGACTGTTTTTTAGTCACTAAAAATTCTGTATCGATCGTATAAAGCCAAATTCAAATCAGGAGCAAGCTTTCAAATATCTCGGTGTTCTACTAAATTGATGAGTCCTGATACTGTGAGCTAATTAAGGTACAGGGAAGGTTCTAGTTGAACTGAGCGATGTGTCCCTTTCACCAGCTTCAAAATCCACAGAATGGTATTTTGCCTTTCTCTTGCCTGTATTTCGTCTTTCCCTTGTAATAGCTTTATTCCTGGGAGCATCCCTATAGAGAATATTGAATAGGGTCGCGCTCGTGACATTAAAGATTTCATATGGCACGTGCTCTGTAGTTAAAAAGACAAGCTTTAGTTTCTTCCATAGCTTTTGGCAAGTTCATCGTAATATATTTCTTAATATGTCTAATAAATTATCCCAAATATGCGATGACACAAGCTAGCTGGATTAACAGTCAGCAATGATAGATTCGGGCAAGATAATAAAATTGGGGGCTCATTCAGAAAAGAAGCCTTTGGCATCATACTTTCCCTTGGCACAAGAAAGTGTTAAAATAATCTTACCTGGGGCCCAGAAAAAAGGTTGCTTTCAGCTCAGGGGCAGAGAGTTTATTTCAGACGCCCCAGCGGGGTGGCCACGGCCCCTGCTTGGATGTGACCTCTTCTTCAGACACGTTTGCCTTTTTCTCTAATATTTAACTACCAGGGACACTCAGGGCAAATTTCTCTTGCTGAATGCAAGGTTGGAAATAAAAAGAAGATGAAATAGACAGCTGGTGATTTGGGGGAACCCCCCCATACACCACTTTAAAAAAGAGGAATGCCACTTCCAGCTTCCTGCCGTCAATGCAGCCATGGCTTCATATTTAGCCGTCGCAAAGCTGCCAAGTAAAACATTATTAGGGGTTACTTTTACTTTGACAAATCTGCAGTCAGAAAATCCTTTTCTTGTAGGAGCCTATTGTGCATCTCAGTGTTATATTCTTGGGGTGAATCATACTAAGCCATTTATCAGCCTTGACAGTGGAAGTTGGGAGTTATCTGCCTTGCAAGAGCTCTCTGGGAATCCTTCAGAGACAACGGCTTTTCTTTTTGGAAATTAGGCATCCAGGGACAGTCGCTGTAACCAGGCTGGGTTCAGAGGGTCTGCAGGTCACAGTCCCTGCTGTTTCCTGTGACTGCCGCCTCGTTAGTAACTGTGCACTGAGTCGCTGAGTCAAGGTTCTCCAACTCTGAGCTCCGGGGCTGACATCTGTTTGAGTAGAGTGCTGACTGCAGGGAAGAGACCAAGGAAGAAGGATGGACCAGTCCACGCAGCTGCTGAGAACAGCTCGGAGCTGATGGAACTGTGTGACAGGAAAAGCCAGCATCGCAGGAAACCGGGGTGGGACCCGGATTTCTCTGTTTAAATCAATAGGGAAAAGCCCACCTACCCCCCCAAATGACAACAACAAAACCCTCGCACTGTCCATGGTTGATGAATGATTAGATGATAAAGTGCTAACTGGTTTTGGAAAATATGTTGCTGACATTCTCTCCCCACTGGTTTTTCTTTGGGCACCAAGGAGTTTTATTTTCTCCTGACAGCAGAAGCCACAGACTCCTCAGGCCAGGGACGGGCTTCTCTGCCTGGGTGCGAGGCGCAGAGGAGCTGGAGAAGCAAAACTGAACATCCCCTGGGTCAGCATTTCATTAAGCCTCAGTTTTCACATCTACAAAATGGAGATAACCACAACTCCCTTCCATGCTGAGCAGGAGGATAAATGAGCTTCCAAC